ACAGGCGGGTGGTGGAGATTCTGGCTGGCCGGGTCTCCACGTGTTAGCGAGAGCACCCCCTCAGTAAATACTATGGAAGTAGATGGAGGTAGGTAACCAAAGCTGACACTGGTCTCTCACACAGGCACATTGCTTGTCTCCACCACAGACTTTCAGAGAAAAGAATTGCGTGCTTAGAAACCCTAGATGTTCTTTAGGTAATAGAAAAATGTATTTGATAAAAGCAAGACAGAATCTGCTTAAGGAAAAAACAAAAACATAAAAGCTGCCTCTCAAAGTAAAGATAGGAGCTATGTAACATGGGCAGATTCATCCCTAAATCATTGTGTTAGCGTGCATAATTTTAGGCAGATACAATCCATCTTTGTCTTCATCTTTTTTTTTTTTAAATTTAATACATTTTTATTTGCTGTGCACGCATCAATGCTTTCATGCACATGTGATCATGTGTGACATGACAAATGTGAGACGGGACGACAGCTGTGGGTTCTCTGTGTGTCTGTCTGTCTGTCTGCCTATGGGTCTCAGGGACCACCACCAGGTCACCAGGCTTGGCTGACAGTGGGTGCCCAGTACTTTAAATTGCACATACTAAGGTCAGATATGTGTACACATCTGTAATCTTAGCTCTTAGGCTGCTGCAGGAATAACGGTTCAGGACCAGCCCAGGGCTTCAGACTGGCTTGAGGCTAGCCTGGGCTATGTAGTCTCAAAACCACAAAAACTTTGCATAATGAAATATCATTGAGTGGATATGATGTCTTAATGTGTGTTAGTAGCCAGTATTTAAATCAGTTTAGACAGGTCTCGAACATTAATCTTTTTTTTCCTGGGAAACATTCATGATCATTTCATGTGTCTAGCCGCTCCTTCCTGGCAGTCACACTGCACTGAAGGAGCAGCCTTCCCTGCCCTTGCTCTTGAGGAGGTGTCTTTAACAAAGGCCAGGGCTGTGCACGCCTACACCAGCCTTCCAGCTTTCCCTTACACACTTGGGTCTCGTCTAGAGTGTGCCAGTCTAGGGTGGGGGCAGGTGCACACCTTTAATCCCAGCAGAGGCAGGTGAGTCTCTGTGAGTTCCAGGCCAGCCTGGTCTACAGAGTGAATTCCAGGACAGCCAGAACAGTTACACAGAGAAACCCTGTCTGGAACAGCAACAAAACAAACAAACAAAAAAGAGCACATACGCCCTCCCAGAAGACCCAGCACCCTCATTGGGAAGCTCACAACTGCCTGTAACTCCGGCACTAAGAAATCCAGTACCTCTGGCTTCTGGGTACATGCTAATAACCTTGTATTAGCCAGGCCTCTTTAGAAGAACAGAACTTGTAGAATGAATACACACACTAGGGACTAGGGAGCTGAGGGATGAGAGCTCTGAGCAGGACTCACAACTGACTTGGGCTACGGATGTGAGTCCCTGTCACAGTTGTCATCATCCTGGCCAAATTGCTCAGTTTCTTGCTTTTGTGGTTGTTTTCCTTAAAACTTTTTTTGTGTATAGGTAGTTTGGTGTGGATATTGGGGGATCTCTTCCTTGAACATATTGGCAAGGTTCCATCAGTGAACTCAACTTCCCAGTCCTGTTTGGGGTGTTTTAATCACACACATTCAGAGTTTTATATTATTATCTTCTGTTTCTCTTGGTGTTTCCTGAGGGCCAGGACTGCCATTTTAAATAACGAATTCATATTAACACTGTTATCTTACAAATGCTTGCTAAACAGTAGACGAGTCTTCTAAAACTTGGAGATGGGGGATTATCCCTACTCAGGCCATTTATAAGCATTAAATAATTTAAAAGTAGCCAAACGTTTGCAATCAAATAGTGATAGCTCGGTGGTTCATACAAAAACCTGGCAATTTTTTTCTTTTGATCAAGTAAGTTAAAGTGATCTTAATAGTGATCAAGGCAACTTCTTTTTTAGATTTATATGTATGATTGTTTTGCCTGTGTGTGTGTGTGTGGGTACACACTCACACATACATGTGCATGTGAGTGTGTGGACCATGTGTGGACCATTTGTCTACGTAGGCCAGAAGAGGACTCTGGGTCACCTAGAACTAGAATTACAGAATGCTGTGAGCTACCATGTGTGTTCTGGAGACCAACTCTGCGTCCTTTGGAAGGGCAGCCAGTGCTGCCAAATACTGAGCCATCTAACCAGCCCCAGGAAAACTTTATTTTTGAGACATGTAGAACAGGCTGGCCCAAAACTTTCTGTGTTGCTGAGGGTGACTTTGAATTTCTGATCTTCCTGCCCTCTGATTCTGGGATTGCTAGATGCCACCACAGTTAATTAGGGAAACCTTTGGCAAGCATCTCACTCAAGCTCAGTATTCTAAATGTAGTGGGGAATAAGAATTCAGTGCTTGACTTCAGAGCACTACAGGCGTCTTGTGCATACTGTGCAAGTGCGCGCCCATCACTGGCTGCACCTAGCCCATTGTTCCTGCCAGACTTCGTCAGAACTCCAGAGTAGCGCTTGTACAAGAGAATTATACCCAGCTGAGTACACCTAAAAGATCCCCTTCTAGATATATAAACTACTAGTTAACATAGAAGGGAGGAGCCCCCCTTCCCCCCCCCCCCCCCGTTCCTCACTCAATTAGAGAGACTCAGATATAATCATGATTGTGTCAAAAGTTCAAAAGGGAGAATGGAAGGGAAAATGAGCCGAATTGGCACTGTCCCCTCAACACTGTACCTGTAAGCTTGATATGTTGTTTCAGAGATTAACTTTATAGACTTCCGTACCCAGAAGTATGAAAATTCTTGGGGACCTCTTTTCACAGGCTTGATCTTAACGTACTGAATAAAGAGAGCAGTTAATCCCTTTTGTAAAGTAATTTGAGAGGAGGGAATTCAGAATGTAAAATCTCACCTGCAGAAAGCGCTCAGCTCTGTAAAGACCTTTCTGTCTTTAGACACTTACAAAGACTTAATATTTTAATGCGGAAGGGTGAACCTGGTTAAAAAGCCAATGGGTGAAATTAGAGAGAAATAATCCAGTGCTTTCTTTCTGGGAATTATCACCCTGCTCTCCAGGGGAGAGTTTTTTCCTTCTGAGGAATGAGAATGCTTCTCTGTATATCTAGCCAGAGTCTCTAAATATAAGTTTGACTTTTAGTATAATAAGAGTCTTGTTAGGTGCAGTTTTGCTCCTAGTCATTAATACAATGAACAAATGTTGTGGTTACCTGGGAAAGAAAACTCAAGTGCTTTTAAACCTCTTGTGAGATTTGGTTTCATGCTTGAAACCTATACATTGTTATGCCTAATAGCATCTGTAGAGGCTCCATGCTCGAAGTTATACAAGGTAGAAGTTAATACACTATGGAAAAATTGACACCACTACAGAATGAACTTAAGGCCCTGAATAGAAAACCTTTCTTCTGCTGAGTGACAGCTATTTATTTACTGGTAGCATTAAGGCTAGCAAAGGAAGAGTGTTTTCTTAGCAGTGGATGCTACAACATGATGCCCTGATCTCCAAAGCAGGAAGGCTTTCTTCAACAGATTATAGTTCCCCAAGTGCAAATACTGAATTAAGAATAAAATTCACCCAAGAAAGTGGGTAATATTAAGTGGAATTTTGATAGAGCTTGCCATTTGTTACATTAAATCATTTCTGAACTCTATAAACTTTGTGACAGGCATCTTTGTGGATGTCAGGCGGGCCTTGCCTCCTGAGTACAAGAATTTTAATTCTTACATGCACATTAAAAATAATTAATTTTCTTCTATTAGTTTTTAAATCATAAATCATTTTAATGGATTTAGTAGCTTGGTTTTTTTTTTTCCCTGCTAGCACTTGAACCCAGGGCCTTAGCTTTCCAGTTAAGCACTCTATCAGTGAGCTGCTCCCCAGCCAATTTGTGTGTACATACATGCACATGCCAAATACCCATGTGGAAGTTAGAGGACAGCTTTCAGTAGTTAGTTCTTACCTTAAATATGTTCTCTTCCTGTAAAGACCCATCTCTGTAAGCCTAGCTTACCCACTGTAAGTTAATTTTAATTCACGTGGGTGAGCATATTCTGTCACTGAGCTACAGCCCTTACTTGCCTCTTTTAAAGATGTGTGTGAATATGGGTATGTGCCCACAGAGATCAGAAGAAGATACTGGAGCCCCTTACAGAATGGGTGCAGGGAACTAAACTTGAGTCCTCTGCAAGAGTAGTGCTTGCTCTTAACTGATGAGCCATCTCTCCAGCCTCCTAGTTTATGTTGGGGGAGGTGTTTTTATTTTGGGGATGTTGTTTGGGTCTTAATTTTCTACTAGTGATGAGTACAGAGATCACAACACTTCCCCCTGACCGTTTTGGCATTTTAAAATAAACCAATAAAAGATATTTGAGGTTCAGGGAGATGGTTCAACAAATAAAAGTGCTTGTCATGCAAACCTGAAGACATGAACCCATGCTAAAAGTCAGATGATGTGGTGGCAGGCCTGGCTGGGCCCTAAGAATCTGTCAGAACGTGCAGGCCAGATAGTCAGGAACAGACAGTTTAGAAGCTAAAACAAGAGCCTCCTGCATCAGACGAGGTAGAAGGAAAGATGCTGTGTTAAGACCCCCACACGAACACCCACCTCTCACACATTCGAGATACATGAATTTCAAAGGATAAAGCAAAAAAGACTTTGTTTTTGGACTGGAGCTGTGGCTCTACCCAGCATGCAAAGCTGTGTTGTGTGTTCATTCCCAGCTCTGCAGAGAGGAGAGTTAATGTGGGGCCCGCCTGGGTGATAGCAAGGTCAAGGCCTGACTCTTGGTGCCGTGAGTGGTCGTTAGGGCTTAGCCTGGGAACTTAGTGGATCTGGTCTCAAAATTATCTCAGAAAGGAGGGCTGGAGACAGCTTGGTAGTGGTGTGCTTGATTACCTTAAAAAGAACTGAAGTCACTGTTTGTCACGTTATCAGTGTGGCAGACATCTTCCTCCCTTTCAGAAATGCCTTAATGTGCTTTAACTTAGGAGTGACTGTTTTGTTTTCAGACAAATCTTCCTATCTTCAAGCTGAAGGAATCCACTGTTAGAAGAAGATACAGTGACTTTGAATGGCTTCGAAGTGAACTAGAAAGAGAGAGCAAGGTAAGACTTGTTTATAATGTAACAATTCTTTTAGTTACAATGTAACTTGAAAGCAAAACATGCCAGCTCTAACTGAAGCTCTCCAGAAGGGATCTTAGAGTGGGTGAAAGCTGGTGTAGGACTTGGTGTAAGTTCGCACAGGAGAGTACAAGGGCTGGTTCCCTTCTTTCTCAGTAGTGCAGCCTTCATGCAGTCCCTCCTTCCTCTTCCTCAGGGTCAGTGTATTTTCCAATTCTGTTTGACTCACAGTGGGCATGTTATTATAATCTCACGTGTGTGTAGAAGCTTCATGAAATGTTGATCTGACTATATGATACGTCAGTATTCAGATAATGTACGTGTGTGTGTGCTTAAGAAGGCCGGAGGTCGGCTTTCCATGCCTTCCTCTGGCATCGCTGTCCACCTGACCTGTGAGGAATCTGAACTCAAGTTCTCATGCTACACCCGGCCCCTGCATCAGGTGTTTGTTTATTTTTTTTTAAACAGTCTTGTGTGACCTAGAATGGCCTCTGTGTAGCTTAGGGTGACACTGCTCTCTTGGTTTCTGTCTCTTACCTCCTGAATGCCGGATACCTACTTACGTGTGCTGTTGGGCACAAGCAGGACGTGTGCTGTATATGAGGGGCGACGTCCCCAGCCCAGACTCTAAAGGCTGACGGTGACACACTAGTGCCCTCCTGCCTGTACTTTCAAAGACGCCACTGTCCATCTTGCTGAGAATTGTCTTCTCTTGGAAGAGCTTTGAGTTTATTTTGTTACTAGAATGTAGCAGGAAAAAGTTGACTGAAGTAAGTGAAGACTGTGTTACTTTCTGAAGCTCAGTAAAATAAAAATGAAAGGAAATGAAAGAGCGAGGTGGAATCAGGACACACGTGTGCCTGGTGTGCAGGGTCATCTGAAGACTGATGAAGTCAGTAAAGCATGGAGACTCACCCTGTTTGTCCTGGGAGCTACACACACACGCTGCTCTGAGTAAACTAAGATTACCCCCCACACACACCCACACACACACCGTTTTGGTCTTTTTGAGACAGGGTTTTGGTGGCTTTAGAGTCTATCCTGGAACTAGCTCTTATAGACCAGGCTGGCCTTGAACTCACAGAGATCCACCTGCCTCTGCCTCCCAAGTGCTGGGGTTAAAGGCATGTGCGACTATGCCTGGCTTAATTTATGTTTTTATAGGAGATCTAATGTATACAAAAAACATGATTGGAGACCAGGGGTGTATCTCAGTGGAAGAGTACATGTTTAATATGTACCGAGCCAGTCAGTCTTCTCATTACCAAAAACTACATAATACCCACCAGTGAGGAAATGAGGTTAGTAAAAGACTTTGAAACATCTGGGTAAATATTGAGAAATGCAACATATGGTTATTGTTAATTGCAGATAAAAGCTCTAACTGTATAAAACAAGTCAGAAATAAAAAGCATGAAGCCAGGCATGGTGACCTACCCTTTTAAGCCCAGGAGTGGCACCCAGTGGCCTCATACCTCAATAAAAGAGTGCCCTTCCACAATCTGTACCAATTAATTCATCATTTGATGGTTAGGTTGTTACTGTTCTTGACTAAACACCTAGGATCACATCACGTTGGTGAATCGCATGACTTTAGATTTGTTACTACATTTGGGTGCGTGTATACATGTATTATGCTGTCATGAGAGCCACAGAGATCATAGGACAGCTTGCAGAAGTGGGCTCTCCTTTCACTATGCAGGCACTGGGCATTGAACTCAGATCATCAGGCTTGGCAGCAAGTGCCTTTGCCTCCTGATCCTACTCTCTTTGAAAGTTAAGTCTATATAACTCAGACTAGCCTCAGCTCACCTTGTAGCCCAGGTTGGCCTTTGAACTCCCAAGTACAAGTGATCGTCTCAAGCCCGGTGTGAGGCTGTAGATTGTGGTCGTTTGTACCAATGCAGCTGTAACCTGCATTATTCCTGCAGGCAGTGTGAACATTCTGCAGCTTTCCATGGCCGCCTCTGTATTTATTATTCTTGTTTATCACTGTGGAGCGATACCATTGTGCTTTGAGTAGTGCACGTGGGTTATTCTGCTATGTGTTTGTATTTTAAGTAAGGCCTAAGCTAGAAGCTAGAAGCTAGGAGACATTCAGTACCTGTACTTGTCATTATGGTTTGATTCTTTAGCCTTTGTTTTTAACATACTTTAGCTTTCAACATTACACTCAACAGACACTCTCCATTCTTTTTTACCACACGTGCAAGCATATTCTTGTACTCACATTTGAATGTAAGAACTCTTTGTTCCAGACGGTGTCACGACGTAGCCCAGGCTGGCCTCAGACTTACTATATATAACTGAAAGACAACCCTGAGATCTTTTCCTCCTACCTCTACATATTAAAGTTACGGTGTGCCCTGCTACTCCTGGCTGTAAATTGATAAGAGCTTTAGTTAGCTGAGGACATGTCCCTCTGTCTAGAGTGTTTGCCTAGGCTGCACAAAGCCCTGACTTAGCCCAGCTCCCAGGCTGACAGGCCCAGCATGCAGCACACATGGTGATTCCAGCAAGGAGACTTGAAGTGAAGCGGGGGGGGGGGGGGGGGGGGGGATCCTTAGCTACATGGTGCATCTGAGGCCACCCTGGGCTACACAGGCCCTGCGCAGAAATGACTAAGCCCGAGCTGCCTCAGCAGGAGCGCACTGTGTCCGTGTTGTTGCAGGTTGTAGTTCCCCCGCTCCCTGGGAAAGCGTTTTTGCGGCAGCTTCCTTTTAGAGGAGACGATGGAATATTTGATGACAGTTTCATCGAGGAAAGGAAGCAAGGGCTGGAGCAGTTTATAAACAAGTAAGTAGTGCTTGCCGTTCCTCCAGGAATGGAGAGAACAGCACTCCATGACTACTAGCCACTGTTTGTTTGTTTGTTTAGTTTGTGTGTTTGGATGTTTTGCCTGCATGTGTGTCTGTTCCCCATGCAAACTGGGAATTGAACCCAAGTCCTCTACAAGAGCAACCAGTGCTCTTGCTGCTGAGCTATCTCTTCAACCTAGACTACTTGTCATTTAAGTGTTGTTAGATCCATGCTGCCTTTCATTCTGGCCATTTCCTGACTTGTACAAGTCTCTGCGAGTTGAACGCCATGTTGAGTGGTTGAACTGAGGGCTTTTGTGTTAACCTGTGTTTTATATTTGTTGTTCTTGAATAATTTATGCAAATTACATTTAAAATGGCATTCAGAAAATTGTTTTACTCTGTCTGATTTAAGGTATGTTCTCGTGTAAGTAATAAAATGTACAATACATTTGCAATCATTTTTTTTATTGCAAGTAGCAATATTATCAGCATGTTTTATGTAAAAGTATACCTTAAAGTTTTTTTCATGGAAAAATGTTTTCTGAAAAAGTATAAGAAAATTTGGTATTGTTTGCCTTTTACTCACTGTTGATAAGCTCAAACCAATATCGTTTTCTTTTTTGTTTCTTTGTTTTTGTCTTATTTGAAACAGTTTCTCTATGTGTCCCTAGCTGTCCTAGAACTAGCTTTGTAGACCAGGCAGGCCTCAAAGTCAGAGATCCACCTGTCTCCTGAGTGCTGGGACTAAAGGGGTGTGCCACCACTACCTGCCCAGCTCGTGCGCGTGCGTATGCTCGCTGGCTCTCTCTCTCTCTCTGTCTGTCTGTCTCTCTGTCTCTCTCTCTCTCTCAGGTCAAGCCCAGCTGGGTCTGCAAGGAGAAGGGTCAAGGAGGGAAGGGAGTCAGATGGACAGACGAACTCTCAGGCACTACTCATTGTTGTCTCTGACCTGGGCTGTGGCAGGCAGCAAGTGTGCCCACTGTGATTCTGTATCAGGGTTCGGTTCTATCATATTAGCCAGATTTTAGCAGATGCTGCTATGTGAGCACACACATCCATTTTAACTGATGGTTTGGTGTCTGTGAGTGGTGAGCAGGTGTTACCTACTGTAGCACACAGGTCTCACTGTGTAGCCCAGGCTGGCCTTGAACTCTCCACACGATGCTGAAATGACAGGCTTTCACCCCACACCCCTGCAGTTCCCTTCTTGTGAGCCTTCTCTGTTCTCTTTGAGAAGGCAAAGCTGAACTTGGACTGAATACAGGTTGGGTTGCCAGTTACAGAAGAAAACTTAGGAGGGAAGACAGAGAGAAACACTGTTTCTTAGTGTTTGTTTATTATTGAGCCCCTGCACTCTACACCCTGTTTTACTTCCACTTTATGTTTTATGCTTGCCCAAGCTAAGAGCCTCCTTGCTCAGCCTCCCCTGTACTGGGATTACAGGCATGGGCTGGCTGCTGGTTTGGACCCTGTATGTTTAAAATAGAGTCTTAAGAGTTATTTTTTATTACTATGTTTACTTGTGTGTTTGTAGAAGGTAATTTGCAGAGTCATTTCCTGTTTCTATCATGTGCGGTCCTGGGGATTGAACTCAGGTCATCAGACTTGGCCAAAAGCACCTTTAGCTGCTACACCCTCTTACCACCTCTAAAAATTTTAAAAATCATTTATGGACCAAAGGAGAAGACTGTTGTAGCTTTATGTAGTTTGAAAATAATACTTAAAAATTGTACATATTTCCTAACCTTAAAATGTGTTTGTTTTGTACACCATCTTTAGTCAACACGGGAGTAAAAGTTTGTATTTTTTTATTCCCAGGGTCGCTGGTCATCCTCTGGCCCAGAATGAACGTTGTCTCCACATGTTTTTACAGGATGAAATAATAGATAAAAGCTATACTCCATCTAAAATAAGGCACGCCTGAGTTTGGAAACTCGAGACCGTTAGTGACTGATCCACACCATGAAGAAGTTGTAGCTAACGCAGCATGCTGTGCACACACGGGTCTAACATGCCCTGGGTATACTAACACTCAACGCTCCCTTCCTCTCCTGTTTCCTTTTGGCAGTTGACAAGAAGTTGATTCGCTTTAGTGAAGACCCCCGTCGAGCCTCTCTCTCTTAGCTCCTCCTCAATGTGTCCGTGCGCCGTAGCCGCACAAGCCCCATTGACCTGCACTGTTGTAACTAAAGTTGCCGACTTGGTCTTATTTGCAGTTTCTGTGTCATGCTTGCTTCTTGAGTCTGACTGATGAGAATATTTCTCCCCCCAACCCCTCAGTGTGTGACGTCACCACTCGACCCTAATTTACGTGCAGGGTTAAAGGTGCGCGGCACCAGGTGGCTGCTGTGCCACACACATGAGGTGTACTTTGTGTGCAGAGTGTGCAGAGTGTGTCTTTCTTCTGGCCCGTGATTTCCTTCACATGGAAGATTAATGAGGGAAATCTTTATATTCTGTATAAAAACAAATTCAAATTTATATACTAAAATCATTTGTCTAAAAATTTAAGTTGTTTTCAAATAAAAGTTGAAATGCCTTTCTGGTGTACACTGATTGCATGGCCTGCAGAGCCTGTCTTCTCCTCCATGGCTTTGTACTCACTGAGGGATTATGAACTAATTATGTACTTCTCCTTCCCGTAACCCCGCTCCTCTTTAAAGGGTGGTGATATCAAATGCCCCAGCACCTTTTCATTAAACAACAGGGAAGGGATGGATGCATGAACAGCATTCCTCAGGCTTACTGCCTGTTGGGAAGGGCTGTGTTTGAGAAGTGTTTGGAGTCGAGTCATTCTCTCAGGGCCTTTTAAGATAGGCAGTGTGCCCTGTTCGCCGCGGATGTTCCCCACACATCTGAATGACTTGCGGGAACTTAGCGAGGGTACTGAGCGGCAGGTGTGAGCTCTCTAACTTGGGGGGGGGGGCTGACTTATATGAGAATCAAGACCAGAAAATAGCTGTGTCTCGACCAGTCTTAGTCTACACATCTGCACATGAGGTAGTGTGGGACCCCTTATGATCGGCTGTCCTCCAGCCCCGGGCATCTTCTCGGGAGACTGACCTCAAACTGTGATCCTCCTGCCTCGGCCTCCCAAATGCTGCGATCACAGGCATCTACCAGCACAGTAGTGTTCGAATCACTACAAGACAGTATGAAGCAGCCAGGCACGGTCAACACCTGTAACCCAGCTTAAAGGAGCAGAAGCAGGGGGATTGATAATTATATTGAGTGCCAGGGTTAACCTGGGCTACATAACAAAACTGTTTCAATAACAGTTAAAGAGATGGCTCTATGGCTTAAGAACATTTGCTGCTCTTACAAAGAACCCTGGTCCAGTCCCCAGCACACATATCCAGCAGCTCAGCTCCAGGGAATCCAGCACCCTCTTCTGGCCTCCAAGGATGGCTGCACTCAAGTGCATAACCCCTCAGAGACACATGGTTTAAGATAAAAAACAAAATAAGTAAGGCAACTGGGAAGGGGGTAAAGTGCCTGGTACCCCAGCACAAAGACTAGAGTTCAAATCCCGAGAACCCAGGGAAAATCCAGGGGGCCAGTGACCCCAGCACACAGGACGTGAAATTGGAAAGCATGCCATATTTATGTATGTAAATAGTGTAGTAAAGAGGACCCAGGCTTTGGCTTTGGGTGTATGTGTACACACAATGCTCAGTGCACCCATACACAGATCTAACACACGAACACCACAAAAAGAACGTGCAGATTTGATTTCAGTGAGCCGGAGTGATACCATCAAGGCTGTCTTTACAGGAAGGACACTCTCAGCATGGCTCATCAAGTAGAGGTGCTTGCTGCCAAGCCTGGGAGTCTTTAAGTTTGACCCTTGGGACCTACGTGGAGGAGGAGAGTTCATTACCACCTGTGGTCCTCTGACCTCATGTTCACATCTAAACACAGGCAAAATTTGAGGTTAAAAATCCAGACTGTAGCCAGGCATGGTGGTGCACACGGTGCGTGGGCTCCAGAGCCTGGGATGGGAGACTGAGGGAGGAAAGGCCTGTGTCCACTTCACAGTCCTAGCACAGGGCCCTTAGGGACTGACAGGGGTATGTGTGGCCAATGCTGTGGGTATTGGAGGTTTTGGGTAGGTTGGGAGATCAGGAGACTTCCGGAAGTGAACCCCTAGCTGGTAGGAGTAAGTCAGTAGCGCTTGCTCTAGAAGGTCACTGGGCCAGCCCCTACTTGAGCTCTGCTTCCTGCACAGCAGCACTGTGATGGCTGCTGCCAGGCACCACCGTGCCCTCCCCAGTGCAGCAGACCGAAGCCCCTGAAGCCACAAGTCAATCCCTTCTAGCCCTTAAGTTGTTTCTCTGCAGACCTTTGGTTCTGGCGACACAAATATAATTAACAGAGTTAGCTGTGGGAGTCTCTGGGACAGCCGCTTTGGGATGTGGAAAACGTCCTCGTAGCTAACCTAATGCCGGACTTGGAGATGTTGCTCAGTTGGTGGAGTCCTGGCCTAGAACTTGGGAAGTCCTGGACTGCATCCTGGTAACTGACCTTGTAGCCACTTGCTACCCGGGCATCTAGAATAACAAGTGTAGTTGGCACCTGGCTTCTTGGGTGTTTTTATCACCAGGGCCCTGTGGTTGTGACCTAGGGTGTTTTTGCTATGGGTCACTCTGAAGGACTCTCCCTCTGTAGGAGCAGAAGAAGAAAGGCCATTGAAAAGATAAAATACATCGGTGTCTTGGAAGGACAGATAAGTTCAGTGTGCTATGTTTGAAGATTACACACTCAGTGCTTGCTAGGGTTGATTAGCACAACACCCTAGGGTTGAGTTTGCAACTGGGTGGATAGAGCGTGCGTTTCCCGTGTTCCCAGTGTGCTCTGTGTGAGTGCAGGATCCTATGTAGGTAGCATTCCCCTCGACAGATGAAAACACAGCCTCCCAGGTTTCATGGACTGGGCTCGGGATGGATAACTGAAGATGTCTGCATCTAAGGGGCCCACGCTTGGCGACCTGTCCTGTGGGCAAGGACCACGCTTTCCATGCAGTTGTTGGGGAAGGTGGCAGCTGAATGTGAATGAAAAAGATGTCAATGAATGGGGTTTGGGTTTAAGGTTGGCTTCGAGAAAGTAAACATCACAGTTAATCTCTAAGACTGAGTCAAGGGCCTTTTTTAAAGTTTTCCAGGAAACCCCCTGAGAGGAGAGCCTATCCGAACCATAAAAAACAGGGAATTAAGAAAAAGTATTATCAGACCTTGTGAAATTGTTTTTGTTAATGTTCTCAAATTCTGAACTCAGGGAAAATATGCCCTTGGCCTGGAGGCTAGGAGCAGATTTCACAATCCGAAAGCACATTCAGAGCTGCCTTCACTGTCAGTCAGTGCTGTGGGTGGAAGTGGTCCCGTAAACTCAATGACAATGTGGGCGAGAGAGGTCAAACGCCAGCCCTTTCATCAAAGTCGGTCTTGAGTCACTGTCAATCAAAACTCACAGTAAAACATAACACAAATGTGAGGATCAGAAAGGAACTCGGGGTTCAGGAAGAGGGACGGGGTGGCCGTTCAGTCAGGTGTGCTATTTCTGAGGAGTATGAGGTTGGCAATCCTCGGGAAGGGTGGGGGCATGATCTCCAATACACACTGCAAAACAAAAAGCTGTCGGGTTACAGAGCAAACAGCTCCCAAGGGGTCTTTCAGGGTGGTTGGTTCGTCTAAGAGAACCAGCTGCTGTCCAGATTGCTGGGAGGGGTCAGGGAGCTACAACCTGGTTCATATCAGAGCCAGGTGGGCTCAGCATGGTTAAGGAGCTAGCTTCGAAATCTCAGTACATGAGTTCAAGCCCAGGGACTCCCAGGGTAGAAGGGGAGAACCGACTTCTCCCAAATTGTCCTCCGTTCCCCACACGTGTGCGCCACACCATGTGTGCAGCCACATGCAAGAGTGGAGTCTGTGTGTTTTTAACGAAGAGAATGCAGATGGGGGCTGAGTATGGGGTGTGAAGATGATGTTCAGGAACCCACCAGACACAGCAAAGATACAGAACAAAATAAAACAATAGTCGTGAAATAACAGCCAGACCTCTCCTTTCCCTGGCCTTCAAAGTAAGATTTCACAGCCTTATTCCAAGTAGGGACAGGTGCAGTTACCCCTCCAGCACCGCCCTGTTCTCCCCATCAGCCTCCTTCCTGTCAACAAGGGGTTAAAACTGCAGCCAGGGAGGGGAGTGAGGGCCACAGACCTAAAACCCACTTAACCTTGGAGATACGTTTGTGTGTGGCAGGAACCCAGTAAATACTGAGCTCTCACCTGGACATATGGTGTTCCTTTCCCTGCGTCGTTCACACCTGTGGTGCTCTGGGATAAGCACGGTGGTTGAGGACTAATAGGTAAACCTAAAATAGGCAGAAACAGAGACACCAGAGGAAGGCGAAGCAGTCCAACTCTGGCCAGATTGCCATCCATTCCTCCCTCTTACGGCCTGTCTTGAGTTTGTATTACCCAGTGCTTCTCTGACAAAAGGGACAAGTCCTGCCTGGACAGAAGAAAGAAGTCTGGAGAGATAAACCGGTCAAAACCAGAGAGGCGCATCACAGGTGTTTAGGATTACCAGTTAGAAGTCACTGATTGTAAGTGTTCTCCTGGAAAAGGTAGGTTAACACTCAAGTGCCCATGGGTAATGCAAAGAGCAGAACTTAGACTGCTCATTTTGCCAAGAAAAGAGCTGGGGCAAATTTTACTTTGACGAAGGTCGCACAGCCAGTAGAAAGTGAAACCCTAGTCTTGGTGATGCTCAAGCCTGCACCTGTGCCTTGCAGGAGGCAGGCGCTGCCTCCTAACACAGGTGCACTGGGCAGTTTGGCCAGGATGCACCAACATGAGCTCTTAAGGAGATGAGTGCCTTAAGGACAGAGTCGACATTTCCAGGCAGTACCCCTGAGAGTTTTTGCACTGACTCTGAAGCGAGGGGAGGGTGGCAGGGTTGGTCTGAAATGTAGACTGGAATGGCCATTCACTGTGGCCTCATCATTACTTAGCTTTCTTGGTACATTTCCTTTCGAGCCAGATTATGCTTTAATCCAGTTGTTTTCATGCTCGGTAAACCCAGACCATGTTTAACCGGTTATTTCATTGCAGTGACTCTGGGGTGAAGAAAGTTTGTCCTTTCAGCTGACGGGGGATTTGCTGTCTTTCTGCAAAAAGCTTTTCTTGGGCGTAATCTGAGCACTTTGACCTGCGGTACAGGCTTGACCCTTTGTGTGCTGTGGATCCAAGACAATGGCCTCTGCCTCTCCGGAGTAGGACAGTGGCCCTTAGTGTCAGGAATGTTAACCATGTAGCTGCCCCTTGTTCAGGACCTTGCTCTTTGCCACCTCAGCCAGCTAACACTTACAGGAAATAAAAAGTATAACTATGAATATCACTTTATGGTTATGGCCAACTTGTCCCCCATGGAGGTGACAGCAGTTCTCCCCCAACACCTTCGAGGAAGCTCACCAGATCAAACCAGTCCTGATACATTCAGCCTAAGTTGGCTTCATCTATCATAGTATTTTAAGATCCATCA